CCTAAAAATGCATACTTGAGTGTGTCCGGGAGTGGCTTCAACTCAAGTGTAGGTGGTGTGACCAAAGATGGTATGGTAAGCTCTCTCAACAGAAGAGGAAGTGACTTAAACCGGGCTTTCCATGGAGGAAAATCCGGTGTAGAAGAAGCATTAAGCAAGACATTCACCTCCTCAACTGACCCATAAATTTCAAAATTTTCAAACCCAAAATGAGCTAGACAAGCCTCTAAAGGGTCCTCTACAAGAATGGAGGGCAAAGCCTCCTCCACAATCTCATCCACAACATCCACTAATAAGCACTCCTCTCTCTCATGAGGTTGTTGGGATGCTTGGAAAACATTAAGTTTGACTTGCATGTTACCAAATGAAACTTCCATCACCCCGGTACGACAATTAATGCATGCATTGGCCGTAGCCAAGAAAGGTTGACCCAAGATCACCGGGATTTGTTTTCTAGAACTGGCTACCGGTTCCATATCTAAAACCAAAAAGTCAACAGGGAAGTAGAACCTATCAACCTTAACTAGCACATCGTCAATCATGCCTCGTGGCACTTTAAGGGATCGGTCAGGCAACTGAAGAGTAACAGTAGTGGGCTTCAACTCGCCAAGCCCAAATTCCTCGTACACAGAGTATGGCAACAAATTGACACTAGCCCTTAAATCCAATAAGACCCTATCAATGAAATGGTCCCCTATAATATATGCAATGGTTGGGGCACCCGGGTCTTTAAGCTTAGGAGGTACGTCATTCAACAAGATGGAGCTTACTTGCTCCGTGAGTAGGACCTTTTGGGACACATGTGTCCTAGATTTACGTTTTTGCGTATAAAGGTCCTTCAGAAATTTGGCATATGATGGTACTTGCTTAATCGCCTCCAACAAGGGGAGGTTGATTTTTACCTGTTTAAAGACCTCCATCATTGCCTCCATAGATGCCACCTTCTTATTAAAAGGGGACGATGTGTCAAGGCACTGGGGAAAGGGTGCCTTAGGCACATATGGTGCCTTGGGCTCAAGTGAAGTACTAGGGACTAAGTCATCCCTCTTAAGTGTTTTCCCTTCACCCTTGCTCTCATTAGGTGAACCACCGTGGTCACCCTTCTTAACTCTAGTTGCATCAGACGCAACTGACTGAGGCTCTAACTCCCTACCACTTCTCAAACTAATCACTGCCTGCACCTGCTCATGGTGTTTTCCATTCCCACCCAAACTCTCTACCCCGTATTGTCCTTTAGGGTTGGCCACAGTTTGACTTGGTAATTTTCCGTCCTCTCTCCGATTCATGTTGTTAGCCATTTGACCCAATTGGGTCTCTAGCTTGGCAATAGAGTGAGTGTGGGAGTGAACTACCGGTGCTAACCCCTTAAGTTCGGAGAGAACTTCCAACACCTGAGTCTCAAAGGCAGAGTTTCTCTGAGGAACAGGCGGGGGTTGTGGTTGCCGATACGGTTGTGGTTGTGGGGGTCTATAAGGTTGCGGTGGTCGGTAAGATGATTGGTTGGCAAAATTATTGAAATTCTGCCTTGGTGGTGGAGGATTATAAGAAGTCTAGCTTGGCAATAGAGTGAGTATGGGAGTGAACTACCGGTGCTAACCCCTTAAGTTCGGAGAGAACTTCCAACACCTGAGTCTCAAAGGAAGAGTTTCTTTGAGGAACAGACGGGGGTTGTGGTTGCCGATACGGTTGTAGGGGTCTATAAGGTTGCGGTGGTCGGTAAGATGATTGGTTGGCAAAATTATTGAAATTTTGCCTTGGTGGTGGAGGATTGTAAGAAGTGCCTCGTGAAGGGGGTCACCATGAGAAATTAGGATGATTTCTTCATCCCAGATTATATATGTTGGAGTATGGATCATTACTCGGGTTGGAGAATCCTTGAGTCGCATTCACATGCTCTTGGACTAACTCCAGAAATTGTGATGCCGAAGGGCACTCACTCAAGTCATGAGCGGGGCTCGCACATATAACACATGCCTCATGGAATTGAGGTTGATTTTGCTGGGTAGGGACATGTCCCATAGCTAATAATTGGTCCATCTTGCGGGACAGTGCCTCTACTTGTTGGGCTAACTCTAGGTTTTGCCCGACCTCATAAATGCCCCCTCTTTTCGGGGCTTCAACTACTGGTTGCCGGACTTGCCGGGCTGCGGAGGCATGGTGAAGGGAATTATCACTTAGGTTCTCAAACAATTGCCATGCCTCGGCATCATTTTTAGACATGAATGTCCCACCACAGGACGAATCCACCATTTGGCGATGCGGCTCAGTTAAGCCATAATAAAATGTTTGAACAAGTTGCCAATCAGGCACTTGGTGGTGGGGACACTGTTGGAGAAGGTCTTGAAGTCTTTCCCACGTCTCATGGGATTGCTCGCCATCCATTTGAGCAAAGTTTGTGATGGCTCGCCTAAGTTGGTTGGTTTTACCTATGAGAAAGTACTTCTCCAAGAACCATTGCTGTAATTGGTACCAAGTTGTGATTGAATTAGCAGGTAAAGAATTTAGCCAGTGTTTGGCTTTATCCTTTAACGAGAATGGAAACAATCGCAACATTAAGGCCTCATTTGTGAAATTCTGGATCCTCACTATCGAGCAAATTTCCAGAAATTCATTCAAATGCTTATAAGGATCGTCATGAGTTAGTCCATGGAATGAGGGGAGCATTTATATGGTGCTGGACTTAATCTCATAATGAGCAGCAGTGGTGTTGGGTAATTGGATGCATGATGGTGATGTATATGCAGTGGGTGTGAAATAATCCTTAAGGGTCCGGTTATGCACATTCGGGACATTAGGATTTGCTATCTCTAATGGCTCAATGTATGAATATGAATATTCAAGTCTAGGAACACGGGCAGAGGCCCTAAGTCTCCTAAGAGTCCTTTCTAGTTCAAGGTCCAAACTCCACAATTCAGAGTGATAAGAACGACGCCCGTGCATACACTACCCAAATACACGCAACAAGGTCTGACTCTGTGCACTGAGTATGAAAGCAAAATACCAAAGGAGGAAATACTCACAGCGGTTTAATGAAAACGCTTTACTCGTCTTGCGGATGCTTGACGTGTAGATGTTGTCTCCAATCTCTATTTGAGATTTGACGTTCGTTTTAGTACTTTGGTGCTTTGCTTATGAGTGTTTGCTTCTGTTTACTCACTTTAGTGCTACGGTTTTTTATTTTTTATTTTTAAAGCTCGGCTTTGCTCCGCTTGCACTTCGGTGATAGCTCCAGTTTCAAACGCTCTGCACACTTAGCAACACAAAAGAATAAAATCCAAAACTAAAAATTAAAATAAGAATGTAACTTTAAATTAACTAATTTCACCAGAAGTCCCCGGCAACGGCGCCAAACTTTGATGGGTCGTTGAACACACCAAAAATAAACCCTAAACTACACCAAATTCTTTTAGAATAATGGCAAGTTTAAGTATCGATCCACAGGGACCATTGTGAAATTAAACTAATTTAATTGTTAAATTCCTAAATTAATTTTGATAAAAAGATTGATTGTTCATAGCCTAAATTAATAACAAATAAATTAAGCTAAGGAATTAAATTATTAATAATAAATGAAATTGGGTTTACTGAATTGGGGGAAAAACTAGGGCAAAGAGTCCACCACTAGCCACGTGATTAGGGTTTCCAATTGAAATCAATTATGCTATGGTTTGAACGGATTAATGCTTCGCAACTACAAGCTCAAAGCATTTAACAAGAAGATCATTACATTCAATGTACGAGCACGAACCATCTCAAGTAATACGAATCGTTCACTCTAAACTAAGGTAGTGATACGACTTGTTCCTCGTAGCTTGGTTCGTCTCATACCTTGAATGTAAAGGAATAGAAAACTCATGTATGGATAACATTCAACAATCACAGAAAGTCAAGTATTCGAAGAAATAATGAAAAATATATAAAAGAAACTTCTAAATCACCATACAAATGTTCAAACCTTTATATAGTTAAAAATCAAAAAGAAAACAAAATAATTACATGGCTAGGGTTTCATCAAAACCCTAGAAAATGAGACTAGCCACTTATGGAGGAGTGGAAGGAGGTGGATGGAGAAAAAATCACCATGTGAGACATCCTTGAAACTTTTTATTTTTCTTCCCTTCCAAACCCTAGCCTCTCTCTTTAGGTCCAAACAAGTTCAGAACCTTATTCCAGCCTTTTCCTTGCCTTTCTATACTTCAAATCTCGTCCAAACAGATTTAAAATGTCAGATTGACTTTCCCAGAAAAAGTCAACGCACGTGCGGGAAAAGTCAACGCATGTGCTGCTCGGTCAACTCTCTCCAAATTCTGTCTTTCTACCCATTTTATGCTCCGACTATGTACAACCTGATTGATATTCAACACACATAAAGTATACGGTTTGGCCATCAAGTGAAACTAAGATATTCTAATTAACGGTCTCAATGGTATACAATTCGGCCTTAATCCCATGGCCTTAATCATATATATAAAGACGTTTTTACTCTCAATACTTTAAAAAATTTCAACGTTTTCCTTTTGTTATGTTAACCAAAACTTCAAAACACTATAAATATAACATGACAATTTCTCATAAAAACCAAAAGTTTAAAACCCAAATATCTTTCTCTCCTCCCCCCCAAAAAAAAAAAAAATTTTTTTTAAACAATTACTAAATGTATCAACTTTTTTTAATATATATACAAAAAAAAAAAGAACTATTATTACAACCCACCTCTCAATCTTAGGTGGCCATTGGATTAGTTGAAAATATCACCTAACAACGGTGCTAGGGACCCCAGTGGGGGGCACCCCCAACACCCCCAGTTTTTTTTCATTGGTCCAGAATTTTTTTTTTTTTTTCTTTTTTTCCAATCACCCACAGCCACGTGGGCTGGGGGGGTCACTGGGGGTCCGGGGAAACTGGGGGTCTGCCGCATTAATCTATCACCTAATTAGCATTCTCTAGAATAATGACTAGAAGTGGGAAGGAGTTGGTGGCCACAACACAACCATTTACTCCGTAAAACACCAAAACCAAGTCAAAAACAAACCCAATTGGCATTAACGTGTTTTCTACATTCCAAACGGCCCTTAAAGAAGGCTGAGGCTTCATCACCACCCCATCTGCCCCTACTTCTCTTTTCCAGGAATTCTCAATCCTCATAACCATCCTATATATATCCTCTCCAAAAAAAGAAAAAAAAAAACTTTGAAAAGAACCATTTTTTGGGGGAATTCTTGATGCTAGTCGGTGGCCGTCTCTTGTCTTGAAGAGATGTGTCCTCTAAGGTTCATCCTGGTTTTTTTCTCAGCAATATTGGCTGGATATTTCGCATGGAGGACTGTTCGTTCATTCCCAGATACGGACATGTTGACTTTAGAGGGATCACCAATAGAGAAAACATCATCCAAAGACAAACAAGAACTTGATTTGAAAAAGGTATATAGAGCCAAACATTTATTTACAATTTTGAGAAATTTTCTTCCCTTTGTGTTTGTTTGTTTTGGTTTAAATCTCGTATTATATAACTCTAAAAAGTCTTTGAATTCCAGATGATTCAAAACGGCTTCTGGGTATTTGTTGACATGGCCAGCGGGAGGTACTTGTGGAGGAATCTTAGAGAGATGAAGAAAGATGTTTATGTCAAGAGCTCCTAGATTCAATTTGTTTTTGTATGAAATCAATGTACCTGACAAAATTGTGTGGTTTTCTTTTCTTTTCTTTTCTTCTGCTTGATGTACATTACAAACAATCGAGGAGGAATGTATTTTCTAGGATTCTAGATTCAATCTGCTTATTTTTTTGGATTATTTACATGAAAACATCTAAATTAATATTTTGAAAATTGGATCGGTCACTGGTTCAATCACGGTGAGCCGAAATTGAATTATGATGTCATAATTATATTAAAATTTATAAGTATAAAAAATATAAATATTAAAATTACAAAAATAATAGATAATAAACAATTATTAAAAAAATATTTCTTAAAATTTATTTTACATTTTTTATACATTGATTTTTAGTAAAAATAATAAATAAAATATTGACTATATAGTGTGTGTGTATATATATAGGGTTAATTACTCTAATAATCCCTATAGTTTGGGACTTGTGTCACTTTGGTCACTGACTTTTCAATTGTGACACATTTAACCCTTAATTTTAATTTTGTTCCAAATAAGGACAATTAAAAATATCATTAGATTTTTCAAGGGTAAAATCGTCAATTTGATAAAATATAAACTAATTTGACAAAAATAAATGTCAAAAAAATATTTTTAATTTTTTTAAAATTATTTTCATCCACCAATGATAAAATTATGTAAAATTAATAAAAATTACATGATTAATTTTTTAAAATTAATTTTACATGATCATCATTCAAACACATAATAAAAATTAATTTGGTAAAAAAATAAATAAATGTCTAAAAGGTCATTTTGAATTAATTCATTTTAATTGAGTTTTGTAGAGTGTGAGGTACCAAAAAAATTGTTGAGAGTGCCTTTAGGCACGAGTTATAAATTTTTATTTCTTTTTACTTTACATTTTACTATTTTGATTTGCATTAAGGTTAGGGGGAGTTGTTATTTTAATTAAATTCTATAGAGCGTGTCGTACAAGTAAAATTGTTGAAAATTCTTTAAAAAGAATAAAAAAATGTTAGACTTCATAAATTTTAACATGATACGTATAAATTACAATTATATTTTAATTACAATATTATTTATACCGGGCCTTTAGGCACGAGCATACACTAGTATATATATATAATAAAAATTTAATTGGAAACTCTCTTTTAAGGGTCTCCACTTGTGAGGGATCCTATTGAGAGTTTGAAATTATTGTGAAAGCATCTATCTATTTATAAAAAAAAAATTATTCCAAAAAAACTCAAGAAATCTATCTGGGATTCAATCAAATTTATTGGAGGGAAACTTAAAATTTTGATATCACTCCAAAATTTTTGTTCTTCTTTCAATCAAATTATTTGAATTAAAATCATATGGAGGGAATATTGAATATTGAATATTTGATTTCTTCTTCCAAAATTAAAATTAATAATATTTTTAAATATATTTTTATATTTTTTAATAAAAAAAATATTAAGAGAAATATTTAAGATTATTAAAATTTTTAATTTATAATTTTATTGCTTATATTTTTATTTAAATATAGTTTTAATATATTTATGACGTCACAGTTCGATTCCAGTTCAACCCGACTGTTGAACCGGTGACCCGTCTACCCGATCATTTTTCCGGTTCACTCACTGGTCCGATTTTTAAAACATTGGGTTAGAATGCTTACTTTTTATGAGTTTGGTTCCATATTCAAACCCGTGCTTGATTTTTATACATTTGTTTCATGTTTAATCCATCTTCATAATATATTTTTGGAAGAAACTTTAATTCTTCAAACTCGATTGGTTATGTCGACTGGATTTGAAGAGCCATCTGGACCGGAACGAGGTCCAGTCACCGGTCTGATCGGCTAGTCCGGTCCGGGTTTTCAAATATTGTCTTAAACTATTGAAAAGTATCACTTTGATTATCGAAAATATAGAAGTATACAAGTTGACTCATTAAATTATTGAGAAGTCTTACTTTGTTTCCAAAATTATTAAAACGTATAAACGGACCTTCTAAACTATTGGTGTATTTCACTTTGATCCTTTCTCTTAGAAGGGTCCATTTTGTATGCTTTTTATAGTTTATGGATAGAATGGTACTTCTCAATAATTTAGGGGTCAATTTGTACGTTTTTATAATTTAGGGTCAAAGTGATACTTCTCAATATTTTAGAGAGTGTTCATGTAAATAACTTTTTTTTTTGGGGGGGAGAGGGTTAAATTATAGTAAATTCCCTCAAACTATAAATCATTTACATTTTATTCTCATGAATTTCAAAACTCAATAGTTAATCCTCTCAAAGTATTATCTTATTACAGTTAATTTTTTTTTTTGGGTTAGGATTCTGTTAGAAATTTACAGAAAATCAGATCACGTTTATTAAAATTTTATGACGACCTTATATAGTGATGTCATTTGTACTTTATCACTAAAACAAGAAAGATAAAGTGAAAATAAAATCAATCTTAAAATAATCAATAGCATGTATTGTTTTAAAAATTCAATAAACATGTCGTGTGTTTTATATATGATCTGATTTTTTTTTATAAATTTCTAACATAATCTTAACAAAAATAGTTAACTGTAATAAGATAATATTTTAGAGGAGTTAATGGCTGAATATTAAAGTTCAAGAGGACAAAGTGCAAATGAGTTAAACTTTTAGAGGGTTTATTGTAATTTGCTCTTCTTTTTTTTTTTTCACAACTAATCTTGAAATGACTACAGTGCCCACAAAAGTAGATGTTCTAAAAGCTTCTGCCACTCACGTATAAACGAACCACACAAACTCAAGTTTAACTCATACTTGGTTCGTTGCAAACTCGTTCGAGATTAGTTTGTTAAGTAAATAAATTAAACTTGAATACATTTTTGAGCTCGTTAAAGACATATCATTTATCTATCCAATTATTTATTTAAGTGTGCAACTATCTGTACACGTGTCACATATTTATTTAACATGTGTCATTATCTTAAAAAATAATAATAATTAAAATTTAAACTAAATAACATATGACCCATAAGATTTGACTTTTCACCATATTATGTTTTTGGGACCAAAATTTATCTCAAAAAATAAGTCATTTTACGACCAAATTTTTTTGTCTCTAAAAGTACATTTATTAGCGATATTTAAAAAATTCTCTCTAAAAACTATATTTTTGACTTTTTGGTACAACCTTTTAATGATTATATTCGCGACGATAAGAATTAGTCTTTATTATTTTTTTGCAACAAATACTTCACTTTCAGAAACAGCAAAAATTTAATCAATAAAATTTTTATATGTTATAGTATGATATGTAGTTAATTTTAATTTACATATAAAATGGGTATAAAAATATTAAAGGTACATAAAATATATTAAGGCATTCTTCTCTCACAAAAAAACTCAAAAAAGCCAAAAAGTCAAAAAGCCTTTCCCAAACCAAGCTTTTAGGCCCAGGCTAAAATAGCCAAAAAAGCCAAAAAGCCAACCCACTTCCCAAACGGAGGCTTTATTATTTTTTTGCAACAAATACTTCACTTTCAGAAACAACAAAAATTTAATCAATAAAATTTTTATATGTTATAGTATGATATGTAGTTAATTTTAATTTACATATAAAATGGGTATAAAAATATTAAAGGTACATAAAATATATTAAGGGGTTGTTTGGGGTGTCTTAAATAAGTGCACTTTTTATCTTTTTGGACTAAAAAATTGAGGACGAAAATATAGATATTTGGGTTAACTTTTTGACTTTTTATAAAAAAATGTGTAATAAAAAATTATAAAAATTGGTTTGTAGGAGAAAATTAGGATTGGGAGTTCAGCAGCCGTAATTATTGACTTTTGGTGAATAGTGTTAACTTTTTAACTTTTTGAGTAATTTTTTAACTTTTTGACTTTTCCTGGACATGCCAAACTTAACTTAAGATTCGAACTATTTGACAATATTTCCAAGCCTTTGTAGACTGTCATTAGAATTACCCAAAAACAAACATCATGCTGCCAAGTATTTTCCCTCATTATTTAGGCATTACTATTGGGAATAAAAAGGACACAATAAATAAAAATATTTTAAGAGATCTCAGCTTCCAACTCCTTCACTATGTCATGGGTTCCAACAAAAGAAGCAAGTTGAACTCCTTTGCGCTCAGGAAGTTCATTGATGATCCTTGACTCTTCCTTAGTCAGTGACCAATCAAAAATCTCAAGGTTCTCCTTCATCCTCTCCTCGTTGAAGCTCTTTGCTACTAAGCTCACCCCTTGTTCATACACCCACCTCAGAGAAACCTGTAAATATGTAGACGCAATAAAATAATAAATTACAACTGCTAAACTTAAATGTTAATCTTAGTCAACATCTAATCTAATCTATTTTCTTTTTCTAGATGTAATAGCTTTCTACAAATCATGTTTGCATGTCAGAAGTGGCTTTGGTGCGTGTGTCTATAGAGCATGAATGAGAATTTGATTTTGTTCATACAATACAATATGTTTTTTGATTGGTCTAAAACTGCAAAACCCACAAATTTAGGTGAAATTAATGCACACTTTTAGATATGAAATTCAGAATTTCAAACCAATCAAATAGTGTGTATTAATATTGTCAACAAATTCATTCTGTGCATCTACCATGGAAATATGGAGGAAATAGTAGAATTCAAATAAGGAAGTTATTTTACATGTCAGCAAAATAAGTATTCAAGTGATAGGATCTAAAAGTAAAAGTCAAACATTGTATATGAAAATTATGTTCAATAATTTTTTTATTATTTATTTTATTTGTATAGCAAATGAATGATGTGAAAACCTGAGCAGTGGTTTTGCCTCTAGCCTTGGCAATCTCTGAGAGCACATCACAGTTCACAATTCTGTTGTCTCCCCACATAGTACCATTTGCACCTAAAGGAGAGTATGCAGTGATATGAATCCCCTTTTCTTTGCAGAACTCCCTTAGTTTCTTTTGCTTCCAAAGTGGGTTCATCTCCACCTTTTCAACATATCAAAAAAAAAAAATCACCACTCATCAATCATCTTATGAAACAACATGTACTTTATGTTAAATCTTACTTTAATCTTTTATTTTTTTAATTATAATAATCAATTTCTTGCATTTCCGAGCAAGTTAAAATGTGATCTTTCGATTAATTTGGTATTATTTATTTATTTTAAAAAAAAAACTGTCTTAAATAACCGAAAGTGCAAGGAAGTGTCATGGGACAATTTCTATTAGCAAATATAATATCGAACTAACAGAAGGACTATATTGTAATTTGATCGAACATGCACAATATTGACTATTACAATTAAAAGATAGGGACTTGTATCATTTTACTCTATACAATTTTAATTAATTCAATTTTGACTCTTAATTTAAATTTTGCATTAATTTGGTTCAATAGATAACGCCGTTAGTATTTTTGATAAAAAATTATGATTGAATTGATTGAGGCTAAGTCACTGAATTAATCAAATTTACAATTTTACTTTGCTACTAAGCTCACCCCTTGCTCACACACCCACCTCAGAGAAACCTGTAAATATATAGACCCAATAAAATAATAAATTACAACTTCTAAACTTAAATATTAATCTTAGTCAACATCTAATCTAATCTATTTTCTTTTTCTAGATGTAATAACTTTCTACAAATCATGTTTGCATGTCAGAAGTGGCTTTGGTGCGTGTGTCTATAGAGCATGAATGAGAATTTGATTTTGTTCATACAATACAATATGTTTTTTGATTGGTATAAAACTGCAAAACCCACAAATTTAGGTGAAATTAATGCACTTTTAGATATGAAATTCAGAATTTCAAACCAATCAAATAGTGTGTATTAATATTGTCAACAAATTCATTCTGTGTATCTACCATGGAAATATGGAGGAAAGAGTAGAATTCAAATAAGAAAGTTCTTTTACATGTCAGCAAAATAAGTATTCAAGTGATAGGATCTAAAAGTAAAAGTCAAACATTGTATATGAAAATTATGTTCAATAATTTTTATATTATTTATTTTATTTGTATAGCAAATGAATGATGTGAAAACCTGAGCAGTGGTTTTGCCTCTGGCCTTGGCAATCTCTGAGAGCACATCACAGTCCACAATTCTGTTGTCTCCCCACATAGTACCATTTGCACCTAAAGGAGAGTATGCAGTGATACGAATCCCCTTTTCTTTGCAGAACTCCCTCAGTTTCTTTTGCTTCCAAAGTGGGTTCATCTCCACCTTTTCAACATATCAAAAAAAAAAAATCACCACTCATCAATCATCTTATGAAACAACATGTACTTTATGTTAAATCTTACTTTAATCTTTTATTTTTTTAATTAAAATAATCAATTTCTTGCATTTCCGAGCAAGTTAAAATGTGATCTTTCTATTAATTTGGTATTATTATTATTATTATTTTTTAAAAAATGTCTTAAATGAACGAAAGTGCAAGGAAGTGTCATGGGACAATTTCTATTAGCAAATATAATATCGAACTAACAGAAGGACTATATTGTAATTTGATCGAACATGCACAATATTGACTATTACAATTAAAAGATAGCGACTTGTATCATTTTACTCTATACAGTTTTAATTAATTCAATTTTGACTCTTAATTTCAATTTTGCATTAATTTGGTTCAATAGATAATGCCGTTAATATTTTTGACGAAAAATTATATTGAATTGATTGAGGCTAAGTCACTGAATTGATCAAATTTACAATTTTACTTCTAAAAATTTGACACATGCTGCTAATGTGCGCATTTATCATAAAAAAATGCTAATCAATTGGATCAATTTGAGATAACGTAAAAAATTCAAGGTCCAAATTAAGTCCATTGAAATTATAGGGATGAAAATGATATAAGGACTAAAGTATAGGATTAATAATGTAATTTGTCCTAAAAATAAGATACATATATATATATATATATATTTGTGATATGCATGTAAAAATTGGACAAGTTTTTGAAAAGCAACTGACTTGATTGACTGCTGGAGGGATTTTGGCAATTGCAAGGACCTCCTCAAGTTTCTTGGAAGAGAAATTGCTTACGCCAATGGCCTTAGTGAGGCCAAGATTCAGACACTCTTCCATGCCTTCCCACACAGCCTTCGTATCAAAGGACCCTATGTACTCTTTGGGAACTGGGGCTTGGCTTACATCTTGGGTGAAGGTCAGTGGCCAATGTATTAAATACAGATCAACATATTCCAATTGTAGCGTCCTGCACAAAAAATCATAAACAAACTCCTTAAGAAAACAAAGGGTTAAATTATACATTTAAATATTGACCCACTCATTAATTAGGCCCATTTTGAGAAGTGGGTTATAATTCACTTTTTAGATTATAACTCAGTTCCTCTCTTACAAAAAAGCTGCTTATAAGCAGTTTTTAACCAAAAAGCTGATTATAACCATCTTCTCAAAATAGTTCTTAGTGTATCAACACCAGTTATAATATTATTATTGATCTCACTCACTAATCACATTACAAATATCAAAAATTTCTTAAATTATGACACATTATTAATTGGTACACTAGTTAGTACACTAATTGGTGTATATAATATTATTTTTTTTCAAAATATTCATAATGGTTTAGTAAAATAATAAATCCAATAATTAGCACAAATATTATAAATAAAATTTACAGGCAATATGATATAAGCAGGAATTGAGAATAATAAAATAGAGTTGAAAATAGTAATCTATGAGAGTTTAGGAGTCGCATTGTCATTGTGCTAAAATTATTTTTTTTCCTTCTATGAAGTTATAACCGGAGTGAAATAATTTCAAGACAAAATATAATTTGCTCACAACATTTTTTTTGCAGTATTCATGACTGCTAAGAGATTTTAATCAAGTTACAAACTAAAGTTGCTCAAAATATAATATAAAAATAGAAAAAATTTCATTAAGAAACACTAATAAAATAAGATGATAAAGTAGTGGAAAGAGGGAATTACGCGGAAGAAGAATATGGAATAATTCTTGTAAATATTTTTTCTCACCAAACTGACAAGAGATAAGGCAATAGTGTGAATTTGAAAGAGTTTATTACCTCATTCATTACCTATTAAATCACAAAACTACATAATTGATTTATAATAAAACTACATTAATGGTGATTTAAGATGTGCAATGATTTTGAAATAAAGCCTCATAAGCTTTGTTTGATTGGTAAGATTGATAGGGAGAAAATTAATAATTCATGACATTAGTGTCTGACTATTTATTCAACTGAATTAGTTGGATAAATAATTTTTTCTTATCCATTTTTGTTTTGCAATGGATTTGAAAAAATATAATCCTAAATATAAGTTTTCATTATCACTGAGAGAAAAGTTAAGTGCATATAAATGGTTTGCAAAATCAATCATAGACAAGACACATGATGAGATCAACCAGCATGGGACCCATCTTTTGTGTCTAGTGTGTAATTGATTGTGTGAACCATTATTGTGTTTATAGCAAAGCTCCAACACTAATTTTAGTAGTGTTATTAATATTGTAAACAAACTTTAATGGAACCAATTAAATATCTAACAAAATAATAATAATAATTTGCAATTTTTGTTAAATTGTTGGCATTTTTTTAAAAATAGGGCTAACCTTTTTTCTAATTCAAATATGAACTTGAAAAAATTTGAGAAGTTTGTGAAGGTCATCACAAATCTTGTTTTGATAATTAAACTATTTATTTTGTGGGGCCTTCAGTATATATTATCCATGAAAAATATTATATCAATTAAATAATCATAACCTTATCATTTCATTGTGTTTGTCTCCCAACAAATAAACGAAAAGTATGTTTTTGAAAATAGGCATTTAAATATTTGGAGACAAACACTATACAATAAAATTACTATAATTATCAGATCGATCTAATTTTTTTCATGGATGATATACACAGAATGCTTTACAAAATGAATGATTCAGATTATTGACATAAGATTCGTGATGAACCCCACAGACTCCTCAAATTCTTTGAAGTTTATATTAGAACTTGAGAGAAACTCAACTTTTTTGAAAATTCAAAGTTAGGCGACAAAACTTTAAAAGTGAATTGTATATTTTATATAATAGAAAAATATAAAAAGACAATGCTACAATACACCTCTCTTATAAAAATGAGTATATCTTATGCAAGTTATGACACTTTGTGATATTAATACCACAAAGTGGTCATATTTTTTTATCATAATTTAATATATCATAACCAAACACTTTGATACATATTTTTGGTCACAACCAAAATTACAATTACAATATATCATAACTGAGGCATAACCAATATCACAATATGCCCTAATTAAGGATCATGACAAAATACTATTTGAGGCATAATTAAAAAATTATTAGACCATAATCAAAATAATAATCACAATAAGTTATATTTAAATAATAACTAAGGGGTGTTTTCGGAAGGAAAAAAAAAAAGAAGCTAGTTTTTAGTTTTTTACCAATTTTGAATCACATTACCTCTCACATTTTTTACTCACAAAAAACAAAATAAATTAAAAAAGCCAAATAGTTAACTTTTTACCAACTTTTCAAAACACCACTAATACTATAATGAGTAACAACAAAATCAAAATCAAAATCAATTTCACAATAGATTTTAATCAAAGATCACCGAGATCATAATTGGGCCTATGATTTTTTTTTTTCAACGCGTGTATTATAGAAGTTTCGTTTCTGACATGAAAATATGTGTTTTATGCCAAAGTAGTGGATTGAAGTGGCGAGGTGAATGATAAGCGCCAATTTAACCATTAATAACGATGAAAAAAATAATTAAAATGTTAGAGTTTTTTAAAATTTTATCAAAAATTTTATAAATGTGTGAGTCTCACACCCATGTAAGGTATTTAGTAGAACTTTTGAAAGCATTTTTAGGATGGGTCCTATTATGGTGTGCAACTCCTTAAGGTTGCACACCATATGCAACCAACACAAAAGGAGTAAGTAGAAGGTATAAACATAAAACAGGACAGCAACACCAGATGTAAGTGTAAGGTGTAAGTTACACACTTAAGAAAAGTACTTTTAAGGATTTCTAACGCTGCTCAAAAAAAATAAAAAATAAAATAAAAAATTACTTGAGGCTGGTTTTGATGCCGGAGACGACTTTGTCACGGTGGGCAAAGCTGCACCATAGCTTGGTGGTGATGTGAAGCTCATCGCGAGACTTGACGAGGCCGAGACGAAGAGCTTCAGCGACAGCCTCGCCTAGAGGCTGCTCGGAACCATAAATGAAGGCGGTGTCGAAGTGGCGGTAACCGACTCTGATGGCTTCAAGAATGGCAGATTTGGTGGCTTCTGGACCAACAGGAGGGTAACAACCAGTTCCCATTCCTATCACCGGCATCTTCTTGCCTGAAGATCCCAAAGTTATCTCAGGAATAACTGCCATTTTTCAATTTTATTTTGAGTCAACCGTTGGTTTGGTTGTTTCAAAAGAATAATAGAGTATGTATAGTATGTTTGCCAAGATCCTTTGATCTCCTATTAGCTTTACACACTTGTATATATATAATTCTATGAGTTCTGCCGCTGACCTTCGGAAAAGTCTGGATCCCGGAATTAGAATCTTAGAATTTACATAGAATAAATATGTGGCGGAGATTTAATTGATGAATATTGCTGTAAACCTTTCCCCAATTGTTGATGAAGGATGAATGACACGTTTGGGAAGTCAATTTAGGACTATTTACACCCAAATCTCCTTAATTATTAATGAATATTAGTTTACTCTCTTCGTCTTTGAATTCGTTTTACAAACTCTCACTAAAAATGATGTATTTATATATTTTTATAATTGAGAGGATCGATATGTCCATATTTATAGATGAGTAGAGTAGAGTAGAGTGATATTTAGGTCTTGTTTGGGGTATTTTAAAAAAGTCAAAAAGTCATTATCCTATTTAGTTATATCATCTTATTTAAGTCACATCATCTCTCTACCACATCACTTCAAACTCAATCCATACCCAATCTATATTTCACAAAAAGTTAAAAAGTGCACTTATTTAGATCATCTCAAACCACCCCTTAGTGTAAGGAGTCTTATTGTCAATAATGATATTTATTTATTTTATTTAAATAAAATAGTTAATTAATGATGCTTGGTTGTAATTTTATATTATAATTTATTTGAATTTTTTTTTAAAATTTATTTGATCATAAAAAGAAGGATAAATTACAAACACATCCCCTGAGATTTACTTAAATTACAAATTATCTCATGTGGTTCTAGAAATTACATTATGTCCCTTAAGATTTCTAATTTCATAACAAATAGGTTCTTTTATTAATAAACCAAGTTAATTAACAGTTTTTAATAATGTTAAAATTTTATTTCAATTAATAATTCAGATAATTTTATTATTGTATAAGTGAACAGTTAGAAATTTTACTTTTTTAATTAATTCTGTTAAATAAAAAATTTTGACAGGGTGGTATTTGTAATTTTCTAAACAATAGGGGGCAATTTGTATTTTAAGCAAATTTCAGAGAGTGTATTTATAATTTATCCTAAAAAGAAAGATTTTCTATAATTACAATTTGTAATTTTTTTTTTTTGTTTGTAAAAATTATTTGGATCCCTTAAATACTTAGGGATGGAAGATAAATGAGCTTTATTTCTATATTATAACTTTTGAGGAAATTTTAGATGGGGCAAATTATAATAGTAATCCTTGTATTTTGATTATTGTGTTATTTTAGTCTTTATAATTTCAATTGATTCGATTTTGCTAATAAATTTATGATTTTGTCACAATTTAGTCCAATTAAATATAATTGTTGGCATTTTTTTTAATAAAAATGTATACATAAATGGCATATGCCATGATTGTAAGGGTAAAAGCATAAGTTTGCTCAACTCATTAAATTAACCTCAATTAATTCAGTGACAATTTTTCATCAAAAACATTAACAATATTACCAATTGAATCAAATTGACACAAATTCTAAAATTAAGGGTCAAAATTGAGCCAATTGAAAGTGTAAAAGCCAAAATAACACAAGAAACAAAATGTAAAAACTGCAGGTGTTATTTACCTTTTTAGATATTTGCATAAACAAAAGAGTTATTACGCAACAACTTATTTAAACAAATAGATTTCACAAGTTTTTGTTTTTCTCCAAATATTATAAAAAGTTACACTAAATAGATTTATAATTTATTTCAATCTTTTCAAGCTAATAATCTGGAAAACTAACTTATAAGTGATATTAAACGGGGCCAAAATAGTGTCAAGAATGTTAAAACTTTAATATGTGGTAAATTTACTTTGTACCCTTTTACATCTAATTTCCTTTCCCTTAAATTTTTAATTGTCTCAGTTGATCCTCTAAACTTTGAATCAAATTGAAATTGAGTCCATTTGTATAATACCATTTAAAGCTAACCAAAAACAACTATGTGACAATATTAATTACACATAAGGCTTGTTTGGGAAGATGGGTTGGGGCTAAAATAACCATATAAGATAAAATAGGTTATTTTAACTTAGGGGTTATTTGGGATGATCTAAATCAGTGCACTTTTTGATTTTTTATGAAATATAGGTTGGGTTTGGGTTGGGTTTGAAGTGATGTGTTAGAGAGGTGATGTGACTTAAATAAGATGATGTGACTTAAATAGGATAGTGACTTTTTGACTTTTTGTCTTTTTTTAATCATGCCAAACTTGGCCTTAATAAGACAAAATATCACATCCAAACCATAATCATTACATTTTTCTCTCACAAAAAATTCAAAAAAGCCAAAAGCCATTTCCAAATGAGACTTTTTAGCCCCAGGCTAAAATAGTCAAAAAAACCAAAAAGCCAACCCACTTCCCAAACAAACACATAGCATCCTACAAATTTTTAATTTTATTTATTTATTTATTTTTATATATCAAAACTTCACTCCAGCCCTTGGCATAAGTATACTCTTATCAAAATTTTACTTTAATCTCTCCATCAATTTTCAAAACAAAGTTATAAAATTGGGTCCAGTGATAACTTGATTAGAAGTTTAGGGAGCTAAACTAGAACAATTAGAAAGTCAGGGAATAAAGTGGAATAATGTGCAAATTACGGGAGTGTAAAGTGAAATTTATTCAAATTTATATATTCACCTATACTTTCTTACACTATTACACATTTTATACATATATTAACAATAATCACTATCATTGAGGGGTGATTAGCATTTCTCAATATATATTTGTATGTATGCGCACGAGACATATGTCACGGATTAGACGCTTGTCATCCTTCCGAAACGTCAGTTCCATGAGTGGTATTGCGTAACCCTGTGCATTATGTCCAAGAATCCAACCTAGGCGATCTGATAGGGATCTACCCTATCTATCTTGCCGCTCACACAAGTATACGCTTGCAAGGTGCTTGGTGTAAAACTCGCGTTGTCAATGAGTCAGAGCATAACTTCCTACCACCACCAATCTCTAAAGCCCTCATTAGAGGGACATTACCATGTCTGCCTTGATGCTTATCCGTTTTCTTACACATGAGAAGCCATTCCACGCAAACACCGCCCCTAGTGTGGACTCCACAATGAAGGTGCTTTGTGTAAGTCCCACGTACCATGCCCATTATAGTGGCCCTAGGTTGGCTCTAATATCACTTGTCACGGACTGAACACTTGTCATTCTCTTGAGAAGTCGGCTCCACGAGTGGTACTGCGTACCCCATGTATTATGCCCAAAAATCCAACCCAAGTGATGCAAAAGACCTACCCTACTTGCCTTGCCGCTCACACACATATGTACTTGCAAGGTGTTTGGTGTAGAACTTGCATTACCAATGAGTCGGTATGTGACATAAAGCTATCTTCCTTGTCAAAATATGAAATTTAAAAAAGGCAAACTTCACTTTACCCCTTATGATTTAGGCCATGTTCGGTTTACCTCTCTAAAGTTTGAAAATGACCACATGACTCCCTCATGGTTTGTGAACTAAAGTACACCGTTAAACATTATGTCTAACTTAACAGTAAGTGTGAAACACATGGCAAACATAAAGGGGATTATGTGCTCATTTTTAAATTTCAATGGGGTAAATCACACATAGAATAAAACACATGTGGTTAAAGTATATTTTACTTTTCAAACAAATAAAATATTTATACTTCACACACTTAAGTTATTAATATACAGGGAAATTTTAGTCTTTTTATTAAATCGTTAATGGGTCTGATAGTTCATTTCAGTTCACAAACTATAAGGAGATTTTGTGGTCATTTTCAATCGTTATGGAGATAAACCACACATAATTCAAACAACAAGATGGCAAAATAAAGTTTGCCCATTAAAAAAAGTGTTGTTCAAATTTGGCGACTGTATGCCCAAAAAAAATCTCCAAAATTTCCTACAAGGATTAAACTCACACAATACAATGGTTAGGTGAAATTAACATGCTCTAAGACAAACAAATTTATAAAAAAAAAGCCAAAACAAGGGACGTGGACGACAATTAGCCATCACCCAAAACAAATTAACAGCCACACATCCACCAAAAGCCATCTAGAATAGCAATTTGTGTTGATGCTAACTTAAGCTCCATAAGGTAATTAGTCGTACCTAGAACAGCGATATATACGTCGTCCCCACAAAGGACCACGAGGTTTGAATTTACCCTACATAAATTATTTTCGAAAGGAGATTGATCGTTTCTAAAGTGGATTGGACAGTCATTTGTGTCCACTACAGGCCTTCTAGATGGTTCACAAATAAAATTATATTATTTTGTTAATTTCAGTTATTTTTTATTTTTAATGAATGATAAATATAATTTTAAAAGTAGATTATCTATTTTAAAATTATATATATAATAAAATTGTGGAGAAGTATTATGAGAATAATGCCACGCGGCCAAGGTGCCTTCAAGATGTCTGTTGAGGTGTCATGTGGGCAGGTCATGTTTGCTGAGGTGATTGCAGTGTTGCCGAAGTTCGATGCAGTAATGTCGGAATTCGAGATACTTGGGTAGAGAATAGGAGTCCTAGATAAGAGAAGACTCTTAGTCTGGATAAGGATAAAACTCTTGAGGCGTTTAGCCCTATCTAGCTGAGAGTCCGAGATGAGTATTGTGCTTGAGTCTTGTGAAGTGAGACTTCTTAGAGACTATGTCATTGCTGGTTATGAAAGTGAGACACCGTGGGTCTAAAGTACGCTTTATTCTGTGAGTTTAATACTTGTTTGATATCTTTGAAATAGATTGACTAACTTGATCGTCGTAATGCTCCCGGGTGGACGAACCACCGCGGTATTCTCATCTTCTTGTTGGCAGGTGGTTGGCTTAATCTATTCTGCCGCGTGCTCTTCAGCTAAATTCCCTATTTGATTGCATGATCAGAAATCAACACCTACAAAAATAATATAACTATGATTAAAGGATGATTTTTTTTTTTAAATGATCCACACATAACAAACTACAAAAATTATATAATCAAAGCTGATCTCGTGATGAGTCTTACAATTCTCCAACCGCAGAAGTGAATTGGTAACAATCTGCCTCCTTTTCAAAGTACATTTTTCAAGAATCTGGGGGCGTTTGGATTTTTATTTTTTATTTTTTGAAAAAATA